TAGGCCTGTGTATCTCCCTCAACATTTGTAGACGCTCCAGTCCCTATTACTATGATGGCATTTTGGTCACTCCCCAGCCTAGGAAGGGGCCTTGCAGGGACCTCTGCCCCGCCCCCCCCACACAAAACAAATAAACAAGGAAATGTATGTTTCAGCAGAGGCAATGTTCTTCTACTTCTCCCCCCCCGCCCCCCATTTCTAACATCTCTGAACACGGATGTGGTGGAGCTCAGGCTAGGCCCTGGGACCTGCTCCCTGGGCACCCAGGAGGGGCAGGCACAGTTGAGGCTGGGGTGGCCCCCTCTGCTCTCCCGACCGTCCCAGCAGGGAAAGCAGAAGGCCTGGCAGGGAGCCCAGGGGGTGACAGCCCCCCGAGGCTCCCTGCTCAGCTGCCCCTTTCCCACCTTTATATAAATTCTCGGAATCACCTTTGCATAGAAAATAAAAGTGTTTGCTTTGTAAGAAAAGTCTGAAAGTAGCAGAATGGTCTCGAGGTGTCAAGGGAGCCTTCAGTCATCGTCTGAGGAGCAGGGCAGGCCGAGGTGTCCCCTCATGGTGAGCCTGAAAGAGAGAGACTCCTGGGAGCGGCCCTGTGGCTCCTCACCTCGGGGAGGAAAGGCGGGAGCAGCCCCTCACCTGCGGGCTTGGGCCTTCCTAGGTTGCCCTGGCCCTTGGGGTGGGTGACAGCAGCAGCTTTGGGGGCAGAGACGCGGCCTGGAGCGGAGGCGCCAGGTGCTCCAGAGGCAGTGGCCGGAAGAAATAAAACTGAACCAAAGCCCTCGGGGTCAGTGTTGGTGGGGGTCAGTGACCCCCCCCCCAACCCTGAGGCCCCACCCTGACCGCCAGTACCTTGCAGCCCACGGCCAGGAGGGCATGGAGCAGCACGACGGCTGAGAGCAGCACCGCGGCCACCAACCTGGTGTCCTCTCGGACGACCGGCCAGAGGGTGAACACCAGGGTAGCGGCCGACAGGGCCAGGGCCAGCGCCCCGAAGAGCCACTGCAGCCACGGGACAGGGATGAGCCACAGGACCTGGGGGCGACACAGGCAGCTGGCTACCAGGCCCTCCGCGCGGCACCTGTTGTCCCCCTGCCCGGGGCCACACTCACCACAGTGGGGATGAAGACGAAGAGAGAGTAGCCGTAGACGCACACGGTCTCCAGGAAGGTGTAAGGCCCCATGCGCTCCCGGACCCCCTTCCGCCACCGCAGGAAGCCCCACAGCGCCAGCGGCACCAGCCAAACATAGCAGTAGATGGTGACACCGGCCACGGTCACTGTGGGACAGGGGGCAAGGCGGGCCGTCAGCCCCGGGGCTCCACGGCGCTCCCAGCTCGGGCAGGGCCGGGGCCTTGCCCACTTAACTTACCCTTGTGGAACTGGGGGCTGTAGTGGATAGAGGGGTCTCTCCTCTGGGCCAGCACCAGGGTCAGGTTGCCAGTGATGGCCAAGACGAAAGCCAGTGTGGCGCAGATCCAGAAGGGGCCTGTGGGCAGGGCGTGGTGAGGAACCCAGGGCTCCCAGGACGGATGACCTGTCCCATCCCAACGGTGCTGGGCCCCGAGCCTCTTTCTAAGCTCCGAGCTACCTCCACTCCCCCCCTGACCCTTCCCCACATCGCCAGTGATGACCTGGGGTGGCTGAATCCACTGCTGGCTCTCAGTCCCTCAGTTTTCCTGACCTTTTAATAGCCTTTGCTGTAGCTCATCTCTGTCTTCTGGAAACACTCCCCCTATGCTTTCTAGGACTTCATGCTCCTGGCTCCTGCCATGTCACCTCCCAGGCAATTCCTCAGGCTCTGTGACTCCCTGACCCTTTAATAACGAGGACGCCGTATGGCACAGTCCTTAGCTAGCCTCTCCATCTGTTCACCCTCCATGATCTTGTCCAGTATCAGGACTTTATGTCACCTCTAGCCTGATGTCTCCCAAGTATCTCAAATCCGATCTGTGCCCTGAACCACAGGCTTATAGTCAACATCTCCCCGTGCACAGCTAGGCCTCTCCAACTCCACCCCCGTGCTCTCCCCTCAAACCCACCCAGCCTTTCCAGTCAATAAATGACAGTTTGATCCTTCTCGCAGTCCCGATGAAAACCCCAGAGCCACCCTCACCTCTCTCCTCCCACCCCGCCTCTGGCGGGTCAGGAAATCCTGTCAGCTCCACCTCTGAGACCTAGTCCACAGTCCAACCGCTGCTCCCCACCTGGGGCTGGGCCCCACCATCCCACACCTGGACCATGGCAGTCACTGCCTCCCTGGTCTCCCGGCATCTGCCCTTGCCCCCCGCCCCAGTGGCCAGAGGAAGCCTCAGAGCCCTTAACCAAGAGTCCTTCTCACTGAGGTCTACAAGGCCGGTGCAGTCTCTCCTGTCACCTCTGTGACCTCATGCAACTCACTTCTCCAATGACAATACTGCCCCACCACTGGACCTGGGCCCCCTTCTGGAATGTTCTCCCCCTAGGTCTCCTCACCGCCATCCACACCACCAAAAGGCCCGTTCTCTCATCCTCACAGGGACTCTCCCTGTCCAACCCATGCAAAGTGGCAACTCACGTCCTCTTAAGCTGTTTGCTTTTCTTCTGAGCCCTGTGGCCCTCAGCAGCCTTTTATGTAACTGTCTCCCCTGACCGAATGTGTGTTTCCCGCTCTCTGGAAGTGCCCCTGCTTTCTTCTCAGCTGGAATCCACAGACCGGCACTCGGTCCACATGTGCTGAGCGAATTCTCAAGCTGAATGCACACCACCACTCACCATACAGGTCCGGCCGATTCCGCAGATGGTGCCGCACAAAGTTGTGGCCAGGCCGGGGCAGCAGTGAGCCTCGGATTCGGTCCAGGACCTGGAGACAAGGTGGGGCCCAGAATGGAAGCCTGCACGGGGCCCCTTAGCCCCCACAGAAGAAAGAGCCAACCTCCTGCCCTGCCCTTAGAGGCTCCTTCCTTGCTGACCTCCCATCTCCTCTGCCTGCAAGGGCTCAGATGTTCCCTCTAGTTCTTGATGGGCTGGAGCCCCTTCCCCTGGCCATCTCAATACCCCAGCGTGCTGCCACTCTGAAGGACTCTTCTGGGCCGGTCATCTTTCTCTTTGCTTCTCCCTTCTCTTGGCTTGGCTGCCCTGAGCAGCCTGTCATGCTGTGACATGTCTGGACTGTGAGGTGGGGAACAGTCAAGTCCTTGGCATCCTCCTGCCTACATCTCTCTCCACTATGTCCCCTGTTCTGCGCCCCAGGTTTTATTTCCCTCCCTGGCCTGGGGACTCTGCTCCACAGTCCTTGTACCACGTCTGCTAATTCCACTCATTCCTCTCCGGCTCTAAACCCGTCTATGGCTTCCCGGCACCCTCAGGATAAAACCCAAACTCCTTAGCACAGCATGCGAGGCCTTTGTGGTCTGGCTTCTGCCCGCCTGTCCCCCACCTCACCCTCTCCAACCAGATCAAGTGACAGGTAGTTCCTGTGACAGTTCTCACCTTCCGCCCTCCATATCTGCTGTTCCCTGTGCCTGTAACACGCGCTTCCCTTCACTCTGCCCAGCTGGGGCTTCCTTCTCCTTTCCATCTCAGCACACTCCTCGCCTCCTCCAGGAGGCCCTTCTCTAACCTGCCTGAGCGCATGTGTTCTGTGTTCCCACGAGCCCCGGTCGCACCACAGTTAGTCTGACCAGCCTGCGTGGGAAGTCGTGTTCTATCGCCCCCCCCCCCCCCCCCCGCCCCGGGGCATCACTAGCACTCCAGTGCCCAGGAACGGCTCAGTGATAGTGGCTGGAGCCCCATGTGACTGCAAACCCCTTCCCACCAGCTTCCCGGGACTGACCTGGGATGTGTCCACGTCAAAGAAACTCTGATAGTAGCCAAAGGTCCAGAATCCCGGCTGCTGCTTCTCCTCCTGCAGAAGCTGCACAACAAGGGCTTTCGGTGGCTGCCCTTACAGCCCGGGCAGGGGGTGGGCGCAGGGCTGGGGGCAGGCAGGGCCGCCACAGACTCACCGCTGTCCTGTCACTCTCCTCGGCCTCCTCCTCAGCCCCATAGCTGCCACCCGAGTCCACCACCACGGCCACGTGCCCCTGTGGGGTCAGCTGATCGCTTCCACTGGCCGTAGCTGCATCTGAGGTCTCGGCCAGCAGATTAGAAGCTTCCTCGAACTCTATCGAGAAGGAATATGGGACACACGCATGTTTGGGGAGTCAGGACAATGTGGTTTCACCCACGGCTCATCTGGGGGCCAAGACTCCAACTGGGGCCACTGAAGGGCCCAGCTTCCTAAATTCTGAGCAGCTGGAAGGTGCGCTCCCCCCACTCCTTGTAAGGGCCTGCGATTTAAGGCTGGTTCTGGGATGGGGTCAGGTCTGGGACAGAGGCTCTGCTCGGAGATTGGAGCTCAGGCTGGGAGCGGGGTTCGAGTCCGGGATGGGTACCGTGCCTGGGTCGGGGTTAGTGCTCACAGCTGACCGGGATTCAGGCTGGCGGTCAGCAGGAACCTGGGCGGGAGGTTCCGCCCAGCGGAGGGAGTTGGAGCTCGGGCCGGGTGGCCGCCGCACTCACCGTGGAAGGCCAGCTCGTCGGCCGCTGCCATGGTTGCTCAGGGGCGTCACCGCATCCCGCACTGAGGACAGAGGCCAATGACGCCCGCCCCCAACTCTACTCGGTGCCCCTCCCGAGGCCTCTCCCTCAGCCCCGAGCCCCGCCTGGCCGCGAGGGCACCGAGCCGGGGGTGAGCTCGCCGCCGCCGCCCCCGCCCCAGCCCCACACATGCACCCCGCCCCCCTCACCTGAGGCTCCCTCGGCCGGCGTGGCCCAGGCCCTCTGCGCCTGCGCGGCCCGCCTCCCCGCCGCCGCCGACCCCGCTCAGACCGGACTGCAACATCCGGCACCGGTCCGTTTTCTAGCCTCTTCCGATGGGAAGCCACTTCCGGCACTGTTGCCGCTTGCGCAGGAAGCTCCCGGGCCTTTTTCTTCGCATCCCCGGCGTTTCTCTTCGGAAAGGGGACGCCAGGCCGGAAGAGAATGGCGACGGCCGCTCTGAAGAGATTTTGGTCCCGAAACCGTGAAGAGTCTGGTGTTCCAGCGGCCGCGAAGCCAGGCGTGTGGACGCGGTTGGGTGAGTAGCGGCGGGAGGCGGCGGGGGGGTGGCCGCAGCGGCCTGCTCTCACCTGTTTGTTCTGGTTCTCTCCTCTCAGGTTCCTGGGCCCGCGTGCTGCTCCGAGACTACGCCGAGGCCTGCGGGGACGCGGCGGCGGCGGCGCGGGCTCGGCCCTGGCGGGCGGCCGTGTACGCGGGGCTGCTGGGCGGCGCGGCGGCCTCCTGCGCGCTGGCGCCGAGCGAGGCGGCCTTCGAGGAGGCGCTGCTCGACGCGTCGGGAACCCTCCTGCTGCTGGCCCCGGCCACGCGCAACCGCGCCTCCGAGGACTACGTGCAGCGGCTGCTCTGGCTGCGGGGGCGCGGCCGCCTCCGCCACGTGAACCTGGGCCCCTGCGCGCTCGTGTACGAGGCGCCCGTCGACGCCGAGGCCAGCCTCTACCAGGCCCGCTGCCGCTACCTGCAGCCCCGCTGGGTCGACTTCCCGGACCGGATCCTGGACGTGGGCTTCGTGGGCCGCTGGTGGGTGCTGGCGGCCCGGATGCGCGACTGCGACATCAACGACGAGGAGTTCCGACACCTGCCGGCCCATCTGCGCGTCGTCGGGCCGCATCAGCTGCTTTCCGAGACCAACGAGCGCCTCTTTGATGAGAAGTACAAGCCTGTCGTGCTCACGGACGATCAGGTGGACCAGGCGCTGTGGGAGGAGCAGGTCTTGCAGAAGGAGAAGAAGGACAAGCTCGCCCTGAGCCAGGCCGACTCCCTGGTGCGGTCGGAAGTCCCTAGATGAGACCCAGGCCTGGGTCGGGATCAGGCCCCGAGCCCTGGCGGACCGTCTGCCCGGGATGGCGCAGTGGGTGTGAGCGAGCCTCAAATGCAGAGTGACTTAAATAAATTATGTACAGAGTGTTCTTTCCCTGGGTTTTCACAGCCTTTTTGGCCACTCTCCCTCTCCTCTCGTTCCTTGTTAGCTGAAGCTAATTCAGAATGAGTTTGGTCTAGGACTAGGTCTTTGTTGGTCTAGGAGTTGGGGGAGAGCAAAAGCGACAAGACCAGGTAATGTTTATCACTGCCAGAGTTAGTAATGAGCCTCACGTACACACATAAGCCTTTTTCTTTGAGCCTCATAGTCTCTAGACCAAGGTTAATTATATTTGTCAGGTGACTCCAAAGCTCTCCTAAGACCATTCAGATGTTCATTTTAAATTTGGAGTTGAAGTTTATCCTCTTTCATTTTCATGAGTAGCATTTTTAGTGATTTTGAAGTAAAGTTAAAAAACAGCTCCAGGGGTACCTGGGTGGCTTAGTTGGTGAGGCGTCTGCCTTCGGCTCAGGTCATGATCCCAGGGCCTTGGGAGGGAGCCCTGCATCCGGCTCCCTGCTCTGTGGGGGTCTGCTTCTCCCTCTCCCTCTGCCCCTGCCCCTGCCCCTGCCCCTGCGCCCTCTCTCTCACCCTCTCAAGTAAATGAATAGAATCTTTAAAAAAAAAAGTTTCAGAGGAAAGTGGAAAAAATAGAACAGAGACGTTCTCTGTACCCTTCACCCAACTTACTCCAAATAGTAATGTTTTACAATAAACCATACCAAACCAGGAGATTGCCAGTGGTATGACTACAGATTTTACAGGGAATCTCTTTGCAAAAACAGCCTTTTTGCCCCACATATGACAGTGATGTTACAGTGATTTGGAAGGGAAAAGGATTTTTTGATCTGGAATTATCTATGGAATCATAGATTCTGTTTGTATTTCAGTAACCCTGGAAACCCAGAATCCTATGGGATGGAATAGGTTAGTATACAAAACTAGTACTTAGGTTGTGATAATCCTACTTTAAAAACAGAGGAATGAGATTACCTCTGTTACCTAGGTGGCCTGTGGCTAGTTAATGAAACCAGGACATGATGGGTTGCCTGGCTGGCTCAGTCGGAAAAGCGTGTGACTCTTGATATTGGGGTCATGAGTTCAAGCCCCATGTTGGGTATAGAGATTACTAAAAAAAAAACAACAAAAATGGAAACTTAAAAAGCCCACGAAACAACCATTTTTGTTGTGATGTTTGACTTCCATGTGTTTTGCCATTCAGTTTTGGTACTTAGACCTTCCATTTATACTAGGGGTATGCTGGACACATGGTGATTTTTATATCCTTATTTTGGAGACAGGAGCATCTTGTAAGTCCAAATCTTCATTTCACAATGGAAACACTGATGTTCAAAAAGTTGATTTTTCCAAGGCTATGGCAGAGCCATGATTCAAACTAACTCCCAACCCTGTGCCTTAATCCTCAAACTCAGTCTCCTATATTTGATCCTAATAACATCCTGCCAGACATTATTAAATGCTGCTATCATTAACCATGAATAAAACTTGAATACAGAAATAAGTGAATATAAAAAGAAATGTAATGAAAACAAAAGGCAAACGATACTAAGTTTATAATCTTACAGTGTTACCCCAAAGGCTTGGCCTAAATCCTGTTGTTGTTTCTGTTCAAGAAAGCAATCTTAACCAACCTCAGGGAAAGGTTTAAGACACTCTGGCATCAAGTGAGACTTGTTTCTCACTGTGATCAGTTTTTTTTTTTGTTTTAAGATTTTATTTGTTTATTTGACACAGACACAGCGAGAGAGAGGGAACACAAGCAGGGGGAGTGGGGGAGGGAGAAGCAGGCTCCCCGCTGAGCAGGGAGCCCGATGCAGGCTCGATCCCAGGACCCCGAGATCATGACCTGAGCCAAAGGCAGACGCCCAACGACTGAGCCACCCAGGCGCCCCTCACTGTGATTGGAAGTATTGAGAGAGAACTTCGTGGGTTCACTGCCTGAGTTGGTTATTAAATGCCACTGCTGACATTCAGCCAGAGTGTGTCCCATGCAGACCCCCTGTAGGTGTGAAGCTCAGAGGAGTAGTAGGCAACAAATGACAACTCAGTGTTCCTAGGGATTTTGGGGCTTAGTGTAGGCCTAAAGTCTGCATGGCTTTGTCTTTGGTTGGAAGGTCAGCCTTTCCCAGAGGAGTCCTACCATATTTTTGCTCCCCTCTCCAGTACCTCTTGCCTGCTGAGTTGTTGTAAAGCTCATGGACTGGAACTGTTAGATCAGACAAGGGGACTGGGTGTTGGGGTATACACAGGCTCCAAAGGATGGGTCCAGGTGTCCTGTTCACTGTTGAGTTCCCAACACGCTATAGTGCTCAGTCCAGTGTGGGCGCTAGCAAATGCTGAAAGAGTTAAAGGAGATGATTCATGTGTCCATTGTGGGTAGGAGCTCGTATGGTCCTGCTGGGGAGAAGGAAGCAGGACTAGCTCCCCATCCTTTGGTTAGCGCAGAAGAGGCCCACCCCCTCCAGACTCTACCCAGTACCAGAAGCAGCAAAGTGGACAAACTCTCTTTCCATAAGTGCACTAGGGCCTGGGGAAGAAGTGGGACTTAAAAGTAGGGTTTGAATCTCAGCTTTCCCACTACCTTTGTGATTGACCTGGGCCAGAGGAATAAGATGAGAAGAAAGAAAGCCATCCAAATTGGAATGGAGGAAGTAAAACTCATTATTTGCAGATGACGTATAGAAAACTCTATAAAGAGCCCACCAAAAAAAGCCCTGATAGAATAAATGAGTTCAGTAAAGTTGAAGGATACAAAATACACAATGTTGCAGCGTTACTAACACTAATAACGAACTAACAAATTGAGAAAACGATCTCATTTGCAATTGCATCAAAAACACCACTTAGAAATAATTTTAACCAAGAAGCTGAAAGACCTGTACGCTGAAAACTACAAGACATTGATGAAAAAAAAGTGAAGACACATAAATGTAAAGATATTTAGTGCTCATGGATGGGAAGAATATTGTTAAAATGTCCATACTACCCCCAAACAATCTACAACTCTACCAAGATTCCAATGGCACTTCACAGAAATAGAAAAAAAGAAATCCTAAAATTTGTAGGGAACCACAGAAGCCCTTACATAGTCAAAGCAATCTAAAGAAAGAACAAACCTGGAGGCATCACACTTCCTGAGAAAGTATATTACAAGGTACAGTATTCAAAACAGTATGGTATCAGTACCAAAAAGACATGCAGATCAATGGAACAGAACAGAGAGCCCAGAAATAAACCCATGCAATATGGTCAATTAATTTACAACAAAGGAGCCAAGAACATACAGTGGGTAGAGGACAGTCTCTTCAATAAATGGTGTTGGGAAAACTGGACAACCACATTCAAGAGAATGCAACTGGGCCACTGTCTTACACCACACACAAGAAGTAACCCCAAATGGGTTAAAGAACATAAGACCTGGGGCGCCTGGGTGGCTCAGTCGCTTAAGCATCTGCCTTGGGCTCAGGTCATGGTCCCAGGGTCCTGGGATTGAGCCCTACGTCGGGCTCCCTGCTCCGCCGGAAGCCTGCTTCTCCCTCTCTCACTCCCCCTGCTTGTGTTCCCTCTCTAGCTGTGTATCTCTCTGTCAAATAAATACATAAATATCTTTAAAAAAAAAAAAACATAAGACCTGAAACCATAAAACTCCTAAAGGAAAACAAGCAGTAAGTTCCTGGACATCAGTCTTGGTGATGACTTTTTTGGATTTGGCACCAAGAACACAGGCAACAAAAGCAAAAAATATAAATGTAATGACAGCAAACTAAAAAGCTACACAGCAAAGGAAAGCATCAACAAAATGAAAAGACAACTTACCAAATGGGAGAAAATATTTCTAAATCATATATCTGATAAGCAGTTAATATCCAGAATATATAAAGAACTCATAAAATTCAATCACAAAAAACAATCTGATTAAAAAATGGGCAGAGGACCTGAATATACTTTTTTCCAAATAAGACATCCAGATGGCCAACAGGTACATGAAAAGACGCTCATCATCACTAATCGTCAGGGAAATGCAAATCCAAACCATAATGAGGTGTCACCTCACACCTGTGAGAATGGCTCGTCTCAAAAAGAGAAAAAATAACAAGTGTTGGCCAGGACGTGGAGAAGAGGGAATCCTCACGCACTGCTGGGATTGTAGATTAGTGCAGCCACTGTGGAAAACAGTATGGAGGTTCCTCAACAAATTAAAAATAGAACTAACGCATATCCAGGGATGCCTGGATGGCTCAGTCGGTTAAGCCTCCGACTCTTGATTTTGGCTCAGATCATGATCTCAGGGTCCTGGGATGGGAGCCCCGGATCCAGCTCCCTGATCAGCAGGGAGTCTGCTTGTCTCCCTTTTCCTCTGTGGCCCCCCTGCCCCACCTCATGCTCTTTCTCTCTCTCTGAAATAAATAGATCTTAAAAACAAAACTGTATGATCCAGCAATTCTGCTCCTGATATTTATCTCTAAAAAACATTAACTCAAAAAGATATATGCACCCCCATGTTCACTGCAGCATTATTTACAATAGCCAAGATATGGAAACATCAGTGATGAATGGATAAAGAAAATGCGGTGTGTGTATATGTATATACATATATGATAAATTTTATTACTGAGCCATAAAAAAAGAAGGAAATCTTGCCCTTTGTGTCAACACGGATGGTCCTTGAGGGCATTATGCTCAGTGAAGTGAAACAAAGACAAATGCTAAATGATCTCATTTATATGTGGAATCTAAAAAAAGCCAGAACAACAAAGAAAAAAACCAAAACATGAGCTCCCAGATACAGAGAAGAGATTGGTGACTGCCAGAGGATGGGGGCGGGGTGGGCAAAATGGGTGAAGGGGTCAAAAGGTACAAACTGAGTTATTATAAAATGAATAAGTCATGGGGGTGTAATATACAGCATGGTGACTCCAGTTAATGATATTGTATATATTTTTTAAAAGTAAGGCTTGGGGCGCCTGGGTGTCTCAGTCGGTTGAGCATCTGCCTTCGGCTCAGGTCATGATCTCAAGATCCTGGGATGAGCCCCACTTCGGGCTCCACGCTAAGTGGGGAGTCAGCTTCTGCTTCTCCCTCTGTGATCCCTCTCACTCCCTCTCAAATAAATAAATAAAATCTTTTAAAAAAAAAAGTAGGGTTTGAATCTCACCTTTCACACTTACTTGTGACTGACCTAGGACAAGTGGAGTGACTTCAGACCTCAAGTTCTTTATCTGTAAATGGGAATGCTTCTGCCCAGGGTTGTTAGGAAAATCAAAACCACAAGAAAGCACTTGGTACCCAGCATGCATTTGCATTCCATGGTGTGTCTGCATGGGTGAGATCCTGGCTCTGAATCCATGCCCCAGCCTTCCGCGTTACCCTGGAGGGATTGCTGCACCCGAGCCTTGCCCAGAGCCCAGCCGGCACGGATGGAACTGCCCAGGGCCACCCATGG